AAGATATTATGGTAATGGCAAAAGAATAAGACAATTCCCTGTAACAGAATAGAGTACAGAATCAGACCCACATAAATTAGTCAACTGATGTTTCACAATATAATCTTACATAATATATTATAATATAATGGAGCAAAGACTGTATTTTCTCCAAATGGTGCTGTAACAACTGGACATCCACATGTAAAAAATGAATCTAGACACAGACATTACACCTTTCATGACAGTTAACTAAAAATGGATGATAGACCTGAATGTAAAGCACAAAAGTATAAAACTCCTAGAGGAAAAAATAGGAGAAGATTTAGGTGACTTTGGATGTGGTGATGTCTTTTTAGATACAGTAAAGACATAATGATGAAGAAATAACTGTTGTTGGACTTCATTAAAGTCAACTTCTGCTCTGTGAAAGACACTGTCGAGAAAATTAGAAAATAAGCCACATACTGGGAGAAAATATTTGTAAAATATATATCTGATAAAGGAATTGTTATTCAAAATATACAAAGAACTCTTAAAATCAACAATAAGAAAATGAACCCAATTTTGTAAATGGCCAATAGCCTTAGATACCTCACCACAGAAGATATGCAAATAGAAAATGAGCATATGGAAAGATGCTCAACATTATATGTCCATTAGGGAATTGCAAACTAAAGCAATGAAATACCACCACACATATCTCAGAATGGTCAAAAATCTAAAACACAGACAACACCAAATGCTGATTAAGATGTAGAGCAACATGGGGCGCCTGGGTGGCTCAGTGGGTTAGGCCGCTGCCTTTGGCTCAGGTCACGATCTCAGGGTCCTGGGATCGAGCCCCGCATCAGGCTCTCTGCTCAGCGGGGAGCCTGCTTCCTCCTCTCTCTCTGCCTGCCTCTCTGCCTGCTTGTGATCTCTCTCTGTCAAAGGCGTAGATAAAATCTTAAAAAAAAAAAAAGATGTAGAGCAACAGGAATGCTCATTAACTGCTGGTCAGAATGCAAAATGGTTCAGCCATTCTGGAAGACAGTCTGACGGTTTCTTGAAAAACTAAATATATTCTTAGAATCCAGCAATTGTGTTCCTTAGTATTTACCCAAATGAGTTGAAAACATAAGTCCACACAAAAACCTGCATGTGGATGTTTATAGCAACCTTATTCATAATTGCCAAAATTTGGAAGTAACCAAGGTGTCCTTTAGTAGGTAAATAGATAAACTGGTACATTCACACATGGAGTATTACCATCAATAAAAAGGCAAAAGCTGCATGGATTGGAAGAACAAATATTTTCACAATATTTCACAATATTACTGAAAAGAAATGAGCTGCATGGATTGGAAGAATAAATATGCTACCTAGAACAATCTACACATTTAGTGCAATCCCTATCAAAATACCATCAACTTTTCCCAAATAAATGGAACAAATAATCCTAAAATTTATATGAAACCAGAAAGGATCCTGAACAGGCAGAGGAACGTTGAAAAAGAAAACTAAAGTGGGCAACATCACAATTCCAGACTTCAAACTCTATTACAAAACTGTAATCATCAAGACAGTATGGTACTAGCACAAAAACAGACACATAGATCAATGGAACAGAATAGATAGCACAGAAATTGACCCTGAACTCTATGGTCAACTAATCTTTGACAAAGCAGGAAAGAATGTCCAATGGAAAAGTCTCTTCAACAAATCGTGGTGGGAAAATTGGACAGCCACATGAAGAAAAATGAAACTGGACCAATTCCTTATACCACACATAAAAATGGGCTCAAAATGGATGAAAGACCTCAATATGAGACAGGAATCCATCCAAATCTTTGAGGAGAACACAGGCAGCAACCTCTTCGACCTCAGCCACAGCAACTTCTTCCTAGAAACACTGACAAAGGTAAGGGAAGCAAGGGCAAAAATGAACTATTGGGACTTCACCAAGATAAAAAGCTTTTTTTGCACAGCAAAGGAAACAGTCAACAAAACCAAAAGACAGAGGACAGAATGGGAGAAGATATTTGCAAATGACATATCAGATAAAGGGCTAGTATCCAAAATCTATAAAGAACTTATCAAACTCAATACCCAAAGAACAAATAATCCAATCAAGAAATGGGCAGAGGACATGAACAGACATTTCTGCAAAGAAGACATCCAGATGGCCAACAGACACAAGAAAAAGTGCTCAACATCACTCAGCATCAGGGAAATACAAATCAAAACCACAGTGAGATACAACCTCACACAAGTCAGAATGGCTAGGTGCTGGCAAGGATGTGGAGAAAGGGGAACCCTCCTACACTGTTGGTGGGAATGCAAGCTGATACAGCCACTCAGGAAAAAAGTATGGAGGTACTTCAAAAAGTTGAAAATAGAGCTACCCTATAACCCAGCAATTGCACTCCTGAGTATTTACCCTAAAGATACAAATGTAGTGATCTGAAGGGGCACATGCACCCCAATGTTTATAGCAGCAATGTCCACAACAGCCAAAATATGGAAAGAGCCTGGATCTCTATCAACAGATGAATGGATAAAGAAGATGTGGTATATACATAATGGAATATTAAGCAGCCATCAAAGAAACCCAAAAAACAAAATCTTGCAATTTTCAATGACACAGATGGAACTTATTACGCTAAGCAAAATAAGTAAATCAGAGAAAGACAATTATCATATGATCTCACTGATATGAGGAATTTGAGGAACAACACAGAGGATCATAGGGGAAGGGAGGGAAAAATGAAACTAGATGAAACCAGAGAGGGAAACAAACTGTAAGAGACTCTTAATCTCAGGAAACAAACTGAAAGTTGCTGGAGGGGAGGAGGATGGGACAGATCGGGTGGCTGAGTGATGGACACTGGGGAAGGTATGTGTTATGGTGAGTTCTGTGAATTGTGTTAAGACTGGTGAATCAGAGACCTGTACCCTTGAAACAAATAATACTTTATATGTTAATTAAAAAAAAAAAGGAATGAGCTATGAAGCCACGAAAAGACACGGAGGAACCTTAAGTGCATATTAATAAGTGACGGAAGCCAATCTGAATAGGCTGCATGCTATATGATTCCAATTCTGTGACATTCTGGAAAAGGCAGAACTATGGAGAACAGTAGAAAGATAAGTGTTGCCAGACGTTGCAGGATGGTAGGGATAAACAGATGGAGCTCAGAGGATTTGGGGGGATTTTTAGGACAATGAAACTACTCTATGATATGATAATGGTGGATATACATCATTCGTACACCTGTCCAAACCTATAGAATATGACACCAAGAGTGAGCCCTATGGTAAACCATGGCCTCCACGTCCTAATGACATGTCAGGGTAGGTTCATCTATTGTAACACATGTTCCACTCTGGTGTCAGTGTTGATAACAGAAGAGGTTGTGTATATGTGCTGGTGGGGGGTGGGGTATATGATAAACCTCTGTACCTTCCCCTCAATTTTGCTATGAATCTAAAATGCTCTAAGAATTGCTCAACACTACATCAAAAACTAATGATGTACTATATGTTGGCTAATTGAACATGAAAAATAAAATAAAATAAAATTTATTTAAAACAATAAATGCATGTTAATTGGTGATTACTCTCCCTGCACCCTCCTGAGGCCAGTGCCTTCTTCCACTGCCAGCTATATCCCCCAGGACAACTCCAAAAGGCAGATGGGAAGCAGTGGTTCCCTGGGGCCTACGCACACCTGCGGGGGGTAAGAGACCCCCACTGTGCCTAACAGTGTTCACAGAGAGAACCAACTCCTTTAAGGAAAAAGGCAAGCCCTGGTGCCATGGAGCAATGCAGTGTCAGCCCAAGAGGAAAGGGAGGGGACAAGAGAAACATTCTCTCTAAAAGATAACAAAAAAAGATCACTCTTACTCCTTGGAGTTCCAGTTTAAATATCAATTTTGGTTTTTCACCAAAAACAAAACTTGTTATATTAATAAACGTCAGTATCTCATGAAGAGAAATACAAGGTTCTATCATGAAAGGCCTATCCCTCTTACAATTTTGACTGCCAGCCAAACCACTAACATTTGCAGAAAGGCACCAGACTGGGTCCTACATCCAACAGCAGGGGAGAGAGAAGGGGTCCATCCCACTGAGGGACCGCCATGCTCTGCCCAAGGCGAAGCCACACACACGGACGCAGGAGTTTAACACCGCCGCACAGAAGCATACCATACTGCCCAACGAGGCGGCCTGCCCCAGCAGGATGCTCAGAAATCCTCACGCCATTTTCAGCTCTTCAACTGCTCAGTAACTGTGTCTTTTGATTCTGGAACTTAATCTTCATTCTAAAAGGCAGATAATGCCTAGTGGCTAGAAACTCAAGAATTAGAACCAGATCCATGTCTAGCTCTCAGGTTTGGGCAAGTCTGAAGCAGTTAAGTTACCTTTAAACATACCCACCAAAGTCAGCTTCAAACAAAACAAACAAAACAACATAACAGTGGAAATCATTTGTATTCTTTTTTCTTTTTTATTTTAGATTATTTTATTTAAGAGAGTGTGAGCTAGCATGAGCAAGGGGAGCAGCAGGCAGAGGGAGAGAGATAGGGAGAAGCAGACTCTCCACAAGCAGGGAGCCAGCTCAGGTCTCAATCCCAGGCCCCGGGATCATGACCTGAGCCGAAAGCAGATGCCCAACCCCCAACCGACTGAGACACTCAGATGCCCCTCATTTGTATTCTTTTCAGAAATGGAATCTTTGCAAAGACAAACTGAATGAAGAAAAATGTCCTATCGAGTAACACCTACCTTTGATAAATGAGCTAAACATCAGTGTATGTTTCCTTTTTCCTTTCAATTTAATGGGCCCAACACTTTGAACAGAATGAAGTGCTCCACAGACATGAACTCAAAACCTGTAACTCAGAGAGCTGAGGGGTCCTGTCTACAGCTGAGGAGGACAGCCAGAGCCCCCCCCCCCACCCAGGAGCAGGGTGCATCAAGGCTGCTCTGGCAAAATCCCCCCTCAGGGAGCCTTAAAGTTCCAGGGCTTTACTCACCCCCAATATTTGCTATGGACTCTGGCCCAATAAGTTGATTTTCAAACAGCCTTTCCGCCTGTTGTAACTTCGTATTTGGTTGCAGAACACCAAGCAAGAGAGGGGGTTCTTTGAAGCTGTAAAATAATGCAATTATAGGGATGTGTCTATAAGAAATACATGAAGAAAGTTTACTGAGGCCCTTCATGCATAACTCCCCACTCTGATAAAGAGGGCACACTGCAATAACATCCTTAGTGGCCAGAAACACAAAGGTTAAAGAAAACACCATTCTAGGAGATCAGAAAAGGTCATAGTATTTAAAAAAATTAAAATATGATTATGGCTAATGCAGGAACTTTGGTAATCAGCGGAGAGTATCCAGGGCCTCCAACTACCCAAGCTCCAGTCTCAGTCCAATGCCCTGACACAGGTTAGACATCATCCCACCCTCTGATTCACATGCCCTGGCATTTATTTTTCAGTGTCTGCCCAGTCATTAAAATCCAACTAAGACAGAGGGGAGTGGTGGTGGACATCCCACAGCTGATAGCCTCGCTTCCTACTTCACAGAGAAAACAGAAGAAACGAGAGGAGTTTGTCCTGGCCTGGTGTCACTAGCCTATCATCCAGCACAGGTGCTCTCTGCCTCCTGCCTGTCCCTCTCAGGGCCCAGCCAGGTTTCTCTCTGAAGCCAGCTTACACTGGGCCCTGGACCCTTCCTCTGATAAGACTGAGCTCCAGGGATCTTCCCTCTCTGCTGGTCCTTCTCAGCCTTCAAATCCTGCTGGTGGCACTTTCGGAAGGCAGACATGGTTGAAGGTCCTCTCCCCATGTCCTCTGCTACCACCCTGGTCCAGGCCACCATCTTCTGGCCCCTGCTTCCTCCATATTCTCTACAATGTATATCCTCAACCCAGCACTGTGCACCTTGTGAAATACATTCAGATCACAGCGTTTAGCTCTCACATCCCTGCAATGGCCCCATCTCAGCTAGAGCCTATGGCCTTGCAGGGGTGCCCTTCTCCCTGCAGTCTGGCCAGTCACCTCTCTCAGGTCTTCTCCTCCTGTTCACTCTGCCCTCTACAGGGCCCTCCCTGTGGGTTCCTGACCTAACAGGCACCTCTCGCCCTTAAATCCTTGGCACCAGCTCCTCTGTGCTCTGCCCTCCCCTTCTCAGGGAGGCCTGCTCTGACCACCCAATATAATACACCAGACCTCCCTCCAAAGCCCAGTTCCTAACACTCTATTTTCTCTATGGCACTTAGTAGCTGCTCACTTTTCTGTTGCATATACTGTCTATCCCCACTAGAACACATGGCCCATGAGATCAGGGATTTGTTTGTGTTTTTCACTGCTATATCTCAAGCACCTGCCATATAGGGGGTTCCCAACCAACACTGCGGGAAGGAGGAGGAAGGGAAGGAAGGGGCAAAGAGGGAAAATATCTCCCAATTCCCACCCTACCTTGCCGTCAAGCAGGGCAGTTTCCTAGCCACCCTTCCAGAGTGGGAGACTCAAGAGGGAAGGGGTGGCTGAAGATGTCGAATGATAAAGAAGCTTCCCTGTCTTGCCCAACCCTTCCCTTTCCAGCAGAACACCTACTGCCTCCTCTGAGTCAAGCATGTGCTTAGGACACAGCACAATTTCCTCTGAATTAAACTCCCCCACCCCACCCCCCTTTCACTCTACCCTGCCTCCCAGTTATGGCTTTCACCTGCTTTAAAAGAAAAAACAATCATGATTTAACCAGGAGTTAATAAAGTTATTAAAAGATATTAAGTTAATAAAGTTATTAGATAAGTATCTACCTAATAAAGCTACGAGTTTTACTTCTAAATGAAGAGAGCAGGGCTGCAACCTGCATACTTTGTTGAGAAAAGCCTAGGATATGGAGATGGACATGGCTAGGTTTGAATTCTAACCTTGGGAAGGTGAGCCCTCCCAAGGTGCACGTGAAGACTGAACAACACAGACAAGCATGTACAGCCCAGGGATAGAGGACAGTACACCCGAGACTCAGCCACCCCCTTCTGCCCAATCCTTGACCTTGCCTAATTCCCTATACAAAGGAAGTCCTCGAGAAATACTTGTAGCATCAACCTAATCAGGATATCATGCACCATCCCTGCCAACAAGCAGCCTGAGTATTATCTCAACAGGGAGGCAAGAAGAAAACTTATATGAGAAAATGCAAAGGATGGGCAAGAAAGGGCCCCAACTCCTGCAGCCTGAGCAGCAGGAGCATCAACGAAGAATGGCCTCAGGAAGGCCAGCCAGGCCACATGGACCCTTGCTAAAGCCTGTGAACTCATAAACTCTTATCAGCTCCCTGTTAACTCCCAAGTGCTGCTAACTCTTATTAAGTCCCATTAACTTCATGTGTTGAATGTATCCTGAAAGAACTGACCAAAATCCTCCAAAAATCAGAATGTCTTGTATGTCCTATCTACCACAGTCTTTTTATTATATTTATATTTATATTTATATTTATTATAAAGTCTTTTTATTATATTTATATTTATATTTATTATAAAGTCTTTTTATGTCCTATCTACCACACATTTTCCAAACAAGGAAGAAAGAAGGGTGCCTTGCATGGCAGGTTTTTGACAAGGCCCTGCAACCTTCCTGGTGACTGCTCCCTAGAACTGAAACCAACTGCATAATAGTCCATTCTGGAGGGGCCTGCACCCATCTTCATTTTTCTCTGTGATTTCCCAGCAATTGCTGAGTGCGGTCTCAGCGCTCCCCTGGAGGACATGGACACCAGAGGTAGACTCTCTGAGGCACTTCCGTCAGCCATCCTCCCTCCTGTCCAGCTGGCCGGATCCTGCTCCCCACGGCAGTCGCTGGTGGAGAGAACAGAGGTGCAGCAGAAGCTGAGAGCTCTGCTCTCCCGTCAGCGTTAATACTGCAACCACCTACTTGCTCCAGACAGTGTGTTTCCCTTCCTTGCTCTTTTTGCTCTGAACAGAGTTTGAAAGAAGCCCTTTTTGCTGCTGTTGTTAGCATTTTCCTCCAAACCTCAGCTCACTTCTGTTCTTCTACCTCCTCCAGTCTTCTGCTTTTGTTCTGCATTTTGGGGTTGCCCCTTCCAATTATTGAGAAAGTCACCTTCGAAGTCTGAGCATGGGAAAGATCCCTGTCAGCCACCCTAGTTTCACTGGGCTTCTCCTCCCTCCCCTCCTCACAAGGCTCATTTACTGTACAGACAGAATGTACTTTGTACAATTTCAAATCCTTAGTGGGCCACTTTCCCTTTCAGCTTCAGAAAGAGAGCACACACCTGTCTTTCCTTTGAATTTCTTCACTCTTCCCACATATAAATTCACCTTTACTGAGATCAAAGGTCTCCAGTCACTGAAGCTCCATGTTCCCCTGCTCTTTTCACTTTCCTGCTCTTCTCCAGGGCTAACTCCCCAGTCCAGATTTTGATGCCCAGCTGTGGACACAGTTCACACTCCCACCTTAGCCAACTAGATTATTCAGAAAACCCCAAGTCAGTTTCTATTTGGGGTAGGTTGAGCCACATCCTTCTACATGTTGACAAGGCTTAGCAAGGGAGAACCCCTATCACCCACAACGTGTCCTGAGAGCCTTCCCACCAGGCAGGACACCAAGTATGCCCTTGCTCCTAGCTCAGCCAGAAGACACATGGAGAGGTCCACCAACACACCAGGAATTAGAAGTCAACACTGTCATGGGTCTACAATGCCTAGGCCTTCACCCAATCCCAATGTTATGCAAGCTAATTATGTTTTAACAGCACCATATACATTACTAATTCTAAATCCAGCAACAGAAAAAGTTGACTCTTGTATACAAATGTCACTCTAAGGTAGAACTGTGTCCTCTTTGTATCTTTGTATTCAGCTACCTACCTTAAGCATTCTAGATGATGAATACATTCTCAGTGAACTGAGTACAACATAAAACCTTAATTTTTATTTATAAAACACTTACACATTATTCAATGTTATATTCACTCTATAATGGGACACAGTTCTTGCCTGAAGTTTTTAAACTCACTTAAATTAACTTCCAAAACCTTCACATCTCTGGAAAGTTCAAGAGCAAAGGGGAATTTACTTGTCAAACCAGATTGCACAACCCTTTGGCATAAGCTCAAATCAATGTCATAAATCATCACACCATTAAGAGCCTGGCTCTGCATTACTATAATTAAAAACGTGAATACATTTCATAGGGTCCTAGGTAAATACTATTTTTTTCAAGTTATAACGGACTACAATACTCATAGATGCCCACCAATGAGAGGTAACTTAGGAAAAACAGAATACTAATCATAAGGCTTTTGAAAAAATCAGTACTTAACAAAATTTAAACAAAGTAACTTAACCTTTGTGTGTGCTTTTGCCACTTCAAATGAATTCATGTTAATTAACACATAAACTTCTCTTATTTGGGATTTTTCTGGGTTTTATATGTGGTTTTTCATTTTTGTTTTTGAAATCTTACGAACAATACCATTCATATATTGTGTAACATCTGATTCCATACAAAACTCAAGCATTAAAGAAATCACAAATATCTCTCTTTCCTAGTAACTTACCTTTCAGAAAAATTGGGTATCCTAGACATTATCCCACCCTACCCTTGCGAAGCAAGCCCTCCCAAGAATGACCAGGACAGCTCACCTGAGAGGCTGTGGGTCTATGGGAGACTCCAGGAGCAGCATGGCTCCAAGAAGGGGAACGGTGAGGGAGACAGCCAGCATCAAGAAGGTCACTCGGAACACACGGCCACTAAAAGAGCTGCCAGAATCAGGGAAATACAAATCAAAACCACAATGAGATACCACCTCACACCAGTCAGAATGGCTAAAATTAAGTCAGGAAATGACATATGCTGGCGAGGATGCGGAGAAAGGGGAACCCGCTTACACTGTTGGTGGGAATGCAAGCTGGTGCAACCACTATGGAAAACAGCATAGGGGTTCCTCAAAAAGTTGAAAATAGAGCTACTCTACAACCCAGTAATCGCACTACTGGGTATTTACCCTAAAGATACAAGCATAGTGATCCAAAGGGGCATGTGCACCCAAATGTTTATAGCAGCAATGTCCACAATAGCCAAACTATAGAAAGAACCTAGATGTCCATCAACAGATGAATGGATAAAGAAGATGTGGTATATATACACAATGGAATACTATGCAGCCATCAAAAGAAATGAAATATTGCATTCGCGATGACATGAATGGAACCAGAGGGTATTATGCTTAGCAAAATAAGTCAATCAGAGAAAGACAAATATCATATGATCTCCATGATATGAGGAAGTAGAGATGCAACGTGGGTGTTGTGGGGGGTAGGAAAAAATTAAGTGAAACAAGATGGGATCAGGAGGGAGACAAACCATAAGAGACTCTTAATCTCACAAAACAAACTGAAGGTTGCCAGGGGGAGGGGGGTAGTGAGAGGGTAGTGGGGTTATGGACACTGGGGAGGGTATATGTTATGGTGAGTGCTATGAAGTGTGTAAACCTGGCAATCCACAGACCTGTACCCCTGGGGCTAATAATACATTATATGTTTATAAAAAAAATAAAAATAAATTATAATAAAAAAAACAAAAGGAGCTGCCAGAGATGGAATATACAAAGGTGATCAGCAGCGGCTGAGATGGGACAAGCCCAGCTGTCTCAAAGCCTGTGAAGCAAGAGCAGGCCTTTAGCCTGGTCTCATTGTGAGACCACTGACCTCTGTAGCTTGTGATGAAACTTTAGGACTGTTTGCTATGATTGGCAAACATGCTTCTGTTCTTTTTTTTTTTAATCTTCCAGCTGTGTGGGAAAGTCTTATCAGTTATTTGCCAGATAGTCTGATAAGCTGAACCTTCAATCCTCTAGTGGAGTCTCTAAGAGGACAAATCAAAGAACTGGTAAACACAAAAACGGAATAAAGAGTGCAATGATGTAATGCAAACACACCCGTCTACAAGAGAAGATGTGTTTACCAAAAGCCACTATTTCCTAGTACATGGATTTAAAGCAGCAACGTTCAGTCTTATGGGTCTCTAAGATCCCCAGCTTTGGTGGATAAAAGAGAGAAAGACAAATTCATGAAGCAAAGAGAACACAATACAACTTGCTGAGAGTCCGATTCTCCAGTCATTTTGCCAATCACACCACACCTTCAAGAATTCAGAAGCAAATCTCAGCTCTCTACCTTTAGAGGGCTGACAAATACTGACAGTTACTCACAAAGAATCTACACAATCACAATTCCAAGTCATCACTACTAAAGCCTTGGGAAGATCTAAAAGCTGCCTTGGGAATCTTGTGTGATGTTTTTGGACAAATGACCAATGGTAACTAAAATACCTCTCCAACGATCCTCACTGACATCATTACTCATGTGGTAAACAGCACATTTAGCCTCTTCGGTACTTCATAGGATCATTACTTGCTTTAAGTGCATTCAAATTTATTATATACTTACATCAAGATTAACTTTAAGCAAATAAAATCATGTGCTCCTAAGGTGGAGAATCTTTCCCTATTCCAAAAAAAAAAAAGTTGACTTAAAAAAAATCAAGACTCACACTTAACAAACACTTCATCAAAGGGCTGTGTTTTGAGTCTTGACAGGCTAGCCTTCCACTGTATAAACCTGATTCCAGGTACAGTACAGAAATGTGGGGCCTAAAGGCCAGCTCTAACTTCCTCAACAGTCAGCTATGCCACTTCAGGCAGGTTTCTTCACCATGGGCTCCCCACTATGTAACAGGGTTTTGTAACCTCAATGCCCCGCCCAATTTAAACATGCATGATTTTAATAAATGAAATGGCAGAAAATAAAGCATCTGTTTTGACGGTAGAAATGAAAAGCAAAGGGAAAGAAAAAGAGGAGAGAGGAGAAGATTCTCCCCTAGTGCCTCCAGAAAGGGACACAGTCCTGCCGACACCTTGACTTCAGCACAGGGACTACCTAAAGTCAGAACTGCAAGTTCATCCAGTGTTGTTGTTTAAGCCGTGATGTATGGGGTCATTTGTCATGTCAGCCATAGAAAACTAATCTAGTTTTCTAATTAAATTAGTTTCGTTGCCTGGAAGTGGGGTGTTCCTGCAACAAATACCTAAATCTGTAGAAGTAGCTTTGGAATTGAGCAGCAGATAGAGGAAGGAAAAATACTGAGAAGCAGGATAGAAAATTTTGTCCAGATTTCCTTAAACAGACTTAGCAGAAAAACAAATGCTAAAGACTCTACTAGCCAGGACTCAGAAGGCAGTAAGGAGCATGGTAGAGGAAATGTACATCATCTCAGAGGATGCCTAAATCGTTGGGAACAGCAGACACCGAAGGCGCCACTGATAAGGGCTCTCAAGGATGTCAGAAACAAGTTATTGGAAGCTGAAGGAGAGCAGATCCTTATTATACTACATCCTGCAGCAATGTGGAAAGCAGAACTTAAAAATGATGAGCCAGGATGCTGAGCTAAGGCCCTTTCCAAGCAGAGTGGAAGGTGCAGTCTGGTTTCTTCTCCTTTCTCTTCCAGAGCAGGACAGTATAGGGAGTAGCACTGAGCACTTCCTTTTGCCTTTGACATTTCCCCCTTTGGTAATGAGAACACTATTCTGTATCTATCTTCCTTCTAATAATCCTTCAAAAATGAATTTTCTTCCTAACTTCCCTCTCTGCACTCACACAGGGCTCAGAGCCCAAACCCTACCCAGGCAAAATGTCAGGTCGCCAGCCTTTCCCTTTTGCTACCTGGGAAAGGAGGTGATCCATCCCACAGACCTGGCTGGGAGAGGCCAAGGGTGCCCAGGCTCCTGGAAGGGATCCCTAAGAAGAGAAAATTCAGGCCAACCTCTACCTCCCAGCCCTGTCTCCAATCTCCAGGGCCACAGAGTCTTCTAATGCAACTAACTGACTGATGCCACTCAAGTGTGCAAGAGCACAGTGCATGAAAATGCACATATGGCATAGATCAGCTGCGAAACTGTCATGACAGCAGGCTGATGCAACCTGCTGAGAGGTCTGAAAAGAAGAATGATATAAACAATGACAATAAGAACATGCCATGCAACATGCTTCATGTGGGTAGCTAGCTAGGTGGAATTATGTATATCTCTACTTTTCAAAGAGAAAAGTGGTCAGAAAAAGACAACTGTGTCCACAGCCCACTGCCAGAACTGGAGGAGCACAACAGAGGGCCAGGTCTGGTCCTAAAGCTGCAGTCACCATTAACAACGCCACCTACTATGGACAAGCAGACAGAGAGAGGACCTACAGCCCTCAGGGCCGGAGTTGAAAAAATTCAGAACAACTTGATCATGACATTATTCTGCACATTTCGAACACATGGGTTCATACAATATGTGACCTCCGTGAATGGCTCCTTCCACTCAGCATATGTTTTGAGGCTCATCCAGGCTGCAGTACGGATCAGTAATTCATTTATTTTCATGACTCAGTACTATTTCATTGTAAGTATATACGGACATATCTCATTTTACTGTGCTTCACAGACATTGCATATTTTTTTTTTTTTTTTACAAGTTTAAGGTTCAAGAATTCAGTGGAGGAGGTAACTGCTGATGTGGTAGAAACAGCAAGAGAACCAGAATCAGAAGTGGAGCCTGAAGATGTGGCTGAATTGCTGTAATCTCATGATAAAACTTTCACAGATGAAGAGTCACTTCTTATGGATGAGCCAAGAAAGTGATTTCTTGAGATGGGATCTACTCCTGGTGAAGAGGCTGTGAAGATTCTTGGAATGACCATGGGGGAATTAGAATAGCATATAAACTTAGCTGATAAAGCAGTGGCAGATTTTGAGGGGATTGATTCCAATTTTGAAAGAAGTCATATCAGTGCTATCAACGGCATCACCTGCTATAGAGAAACTGTTTGTGAAAGGAAGAGCCAATCGATATGTCAAATGTATCTTACTTTAAGAAACTGCCACAACCACCTTAGGCTTCAGCTACCATTATCCTGATCAGTCAGCAGCTCAAATGACAGTTAGCATTCTTGGACAATAAATTATTTTTTAACTTAATGTAAAGGTATGTACACTGTTTTCTAGACACAATGCTATTGCACACTTAACAGATTACAGTACAGTATAAACACAACTTTTCTATGCACTGGGAAACCAAAAACTTCATTTGACTCATATTATTAAGATAAAAGTGGTCTGAAACTGAACACACAATTTCTCAGAAGTATGCCTGTATCACAAGTGGTTTATCCACTCATTCCCTGATAGATATTTGGGTAAGAGGGGGAAATAAGGGGGTGCCTGGGTGGCTCAGAGGGTTAAACCTCTGCCTTCAGCTCGGGTCATGATCTCGGGGTCTTGGGATCGAGCCCCGCATCGGGCTCTCTGCTCGGCGGGGAGTCTGCTTCCTCCTCTCTCTCTGCCTGCCTCTCTGCCTACTTGTGATCTCTGTCTATCAAATAAATAAATAAAATCTTAAAAAAAAAAAAAAAAAAAAAAAAAAGAGGGGGAAATAAGGAGTGATTACTTAATAGATAAAAGATGTTTTTATGGGGTGATGAAAAAGTTTTGAAACTAGAACATGTTGCCTAACACTATATATCACTGAACTATATACACTCTAAAGCGGTTAATTTTATGTCATGTGAATTTCACCTCAATTTTTAAAAGTGTTAACAGTGATGAAAATGTTCTAAATTTATATTATGGTGATTCTAGCAAAAATTTGTGAATATACTAAAAACCAATGAACTGGACATTTAAAAAATACATGAATTTTATCCTGTTAAAAAAACAAACAAAC